ATGCATGAACGGCGGAAGTTTCTTCTGCACTCCGGTTGAGGGAAGGAAAAGCACCTGAATGCAGCAAGAAGCACCTTCGGGTTTTCTCCTCGGCTGCGCCCGGCAACACAGCAAGAGCAAAAACTCGCAGCAGCAGCAGCAGCAGCAGCAGCGCGCGCTTTTTCCCGGGGCGGGGGCAGCGAGGGTAGAGCGCGCGCGCGCCCCATTCACCTTTTATCCAACGTTCCATACCTGACACGCTCGCGCCCTGGACCCGCCCCCTGCTTCATTGGCGCCCTCCGAGGGAGCAAGAGCTGCAAGGCGGGAGCGGTCGGCGTTCACCCACCGGCGGAAGGAAACAAGACCAAAAAAAAAAAAAAAAAAAAAAACAACAACACCCCGCCCCACTCTAGACTAGCAAGACAGGCCCTCTCACCTGCTCCTCCGGCGGCTGCCATAGCGTGTCCGCATCGTGCTTTACTTCCTTCCCAATAGAGGGGGAAAAGCCGAGGCTACCGTGGTTACCGCCACCACGCCCCTTCTTACCCTTGACCCGCTGTTCTTTCTCCGCCGCCCCTCCTTCTTCTGCGTCATAATGTCGGTCGTAAGGATTGTTGGGAAGACTGCCGCCTCTATCGGGCGCATCAGGGACTTCCGGGTTCCTTTCGAGGTGTTTTTTTTTTCACCCCCCTTTCTGGGTGGCGGAGAAACTTCGGGGTGTCATTCTGAAACTCTTAACTGGACTCAATCCAAGTGGCCGCGCTTAGTCGACCTTGCCTAAGGTCAAAAATGTAACTCGGATCATAGCTTGGAGGCAAGACGATTCCAAAATGTCAGTGCTGGACTGCGAGGACGATAAAAACTTTACAAGGAAAGATTTTTTTTCTTTCTTGTCAAGAAAAACGTTGTCATGATGTCCCCAGTTTGGGGGATGGGGCTGTGTGTGTCAGCCAAAGGAATCTTATCTCTTTAAAGCCAGGACAAAGAATTGGCATGCTTCCTCGTCTCTATTACTTTAGTTTACTTTATTGTCATTGCACATGGTTCACTGAACATTATAATTATAAAAATAAAAACGCAAACATGCATCCTTTACTTTCTATATAATTGAAATTCAAAATTAGAAGAATAAAAATATGTACATTTTAAATCTGGGTTTCATTCTATATTGCAGGCTAAGGGCTGAGAAAGGGCACCTTGCAACTGTTCACCAAAACAATGTAAGGAACGTTGATAGTGGCCTGCCTGAAGGTTATTTCTAAAGGAGCTCATATCTTTTCTAGGATGATCAGGCTGGGATTGTAAAAATCCAAAGGGTCACTAGAGTTTTCTTTGCTGACATCTAGTAATTTGTTGGTCTTTTTCAGTCTAAATCTGGTAGTCCTTAATTTGCTCTTAACCTATAGATCAGTGATGGCAAACCTTATTTTTATGGCGTGCCAGAATTACTACACCCCCCCGTGTGCCCACTCAATTCCCCCCCCCAACTGTGCATGCGCAAGTGACTCCCCCCCACACGCATGCACACACACCCCGTTCCCAGGCTCCTGAGGCTTTCCTGAAGCCTGGGGAGGGCAAAAATGGTCTCCCCCACTCCCCCTAGTGGCCCTCTGGAAGTCTGAAACAGATCGTCTCTGAACTTCTGGTTGGCCCATTGGGGCCGTTTTTTGTCCTCTCCAGCCCTCGGAGGCTTTCCTGAAGCC